TCTTTGATCTCTCTGTGGTGATACCCAGAGTTTTGCTGTGTCCCAGTGCTCACCAGCCTCAGGACCCCGCTCTCCTCCTCCTCACCAGTTTGACATCACTGTATCACAAATGGCCTATGTTTATCCTCATTTACACTGTTGGCAGTCCAGAGTCTCCTCATGTCACTGCTCTACCCAGCTGATTACATGGCAGGCGGACAGTTTGATCTTGCCTCTTGTAGGGTTATTTCCACTTGTGCCCAGGCGATGTGAAGGCTGCTCCGTGACAGATGCCATTTGTCTGAGGCAGAGAGTCCCCCGTGGGCCTGATTGCAGTTACCGGTGCTGAGTCCCTGATGCTCTGTCCTGGTGATTTCCCATGTGGTGTTATGTGTATCCCCATGAGCAGGTTCCTTTCTGCTCTGCCCCCACACCTCACCTGGCTAGGTGCCTCCTTCTTCAAACTTCTGCTCGTTCCATGGCTGTGCCAGCTGCTCTCTGAACTGGAAGGTGGTAATCAGACCCCAGGGCTTCGGGCTGCTACTATGGTTTCCTCCCCTTTGACTTGTCACTTTGCCAGGCCATGTAATAATCCTGCATGGACCGCTGTGAACATCGTTAGGAGTGAATTTTGTGCAGCACTGCTGGAGCTTTTCTGCCATCCACTTGTATTAATGCTCTCATTGGCGGGGGAAAAAAAGAACCTTTGATATGGGCCAGCATGAGTCTCCTGTTCCTCAGTGATCTCTAAGCACACAGTGATTGCTCTGCAATTAATTAGTATAGGATTTTAGTAGAATGGGCTTGTACATGGGAAAGGTTTTCCAGCTATTGCAGGAGGGTGAATGGTTGAACTGACCTGCCGGTGGCTGCAGGTAAAGTTCGTCAGAGGGTGAAGGGAGAGAACCTGCTCTGCTCCGGTTGCTCCTGTAGTAATGAAGCCGCATTCATGCGGTGGCGGGTACTGCTCCAGCAGTGAAAAAACAGCCGCTCTCAGGCAGGTAAAATGGTGGTTGTCAGCTTTGGCATGAGTGACACGAGCACGCTGATCTTTCAACACACGCTAAGGGGGGGATGACCATGTCTTCCTACTGCCTGATGGCTTGTCTTCATCTGCTCACTGCTTCCCTTTACAGCCGAGCTTTAGATGACATCCCAAAGCACCAGGACATACTGGTTCCATACTGGTTTATGCCTGCTTGTTTAGTGTAGCTTAGACTGCCTCCCAAACTGGTGCAACACAAATACATCTGAAATGTGGGTGAGTCTGTAGCTTGCATTTGACCTGGTGAACTGTACTGCTGCGAAGTCAGACATCAAACACTGAAATTAGAGGTAATGTCCAAAAAGTGTCAGACTTGGGTGGTTCTGCGTGAGCCTTGCTTGCGTCTATGGTTCCCAGCAATACTGCTGTTGATAAAAGGATGGTATCTTGGTTTTTGAGGCCCCTTGCCTTATCCAGAGCAGACGATGAGCCAGCTCCGGGGCTGAGCCACGCTTGGCACAGAGGATGCTGTCTGTAGGGCTCTGGTTGTGTTTATTGCGAAGTTGTAGTACATGGGATGTGGAGCTGCAGGAGGGAGCAAAATAATCTCTATTTTGGCAGCCCTGCGTGTTTCTCTTGCTTATGCTCAGTGAGGTCTTTAGCTGCAGGACAGTCACCTCCTGTTCCTCATTCTGCATGGGTCTAATAGTGATTTGGAGAAGTACAACTGCGGTCAGTAAGTGTTGCAATTGGATGGAATATGGTGCTCAGCTCTAAGGTGCAAAGTCCTCTGAGAAAAATGTTGAAAGGGTTGCAAACTCTCCGACATATCTTAAAGTAGTCATTAATTAGGGAATTGGGATGATGGGTCTGCCTAGATGGCTACTGTAAGGATTTTGCTTCTGAGATGGCTGGTGCAGGTCGCAGGCTCTGTGAGCAGGGTGCTCCTAATCTTTTTTCCGCCTGATACTGACCTGTAGCATAAACTGCTTTTTGGCCTCTCGTGTGGCCTGTCGGGCTTTCAGCATGTGCCTGTGTATGTTGTGGACTAAGAGGGAATTCCCAGCAACTAAAATCTTTAGTTGTGGCTTTGCTGGGGCTGCATCTGTACCTGCTGGGTGCTTCATGGTGAGAGTCACCTGCCAAAATCAGAGTGACTCTGTTTAAACTGCATGGAGGCACCTGCAACCCTCCCATGGCGGATGGAGGAAAATAAGCAGCAAAAGGGTTTGAACTCCTCTTGTGGCAAACATCAGACGAGCTTCACCCAAAAGCACCTTTTCTCCTCCCGTAGATTTACAGGCAGCTCAGAGGAAGGTGTTCCCGCTGCCGGTGTCTTGGATTGGGCAGATGAGCGCTGCTGTTTTTCCCTAACAGAGCCTCTTCCTTCGCTGCTGGTGTAAAGGGGAAGAAAATGTGCCGTGGAGGCAAAGGGGAGCAGCTGGCTCCAAACCACACCAGGCAATTTGACCCTGGATTGCAGATGCCCTGGCTGTGGAGCAGGGAGCGATGGCAAGAGTACCGAGGCATGGGGCTGCCCACCAAAAATCAGGGCTGGTGGGTCCCAGAGATGGGGTTTGCTGGCTGTCGTGTTTGGAAAGGGATGGGGGACCCAGAGAAATTGTAGCCAGTGTTGTGTTATTCCTGAGGAGGGGTCTGACACAGGAGGGCGCAGGGGCAAAAGGGGCCAGTGGGCTCCCAGCCATGCAGGCGGGGGTATCCCCGCTGCCTGGGCTGGCAGGGGGATGCGGTGGGATGTTTCTGCCCTCCAGGGAAACTCCTGAGCCAGGTCGGGCCCTCCTCCTGGTGCAGGGGGGAAAAAACAGGCTCTGGAGAGAAACAGTTTGTGTCCTTTTAAGGCAATCCAAAGGCTGGGACGGGAGCGATCTGGCTGGAAGGGAGGGGTTTGGCACGGGCTGCGCAGCGGTGGGAAGCCCAGGCGTTCAGAGACTTCCCGGCCGCTGCGGTCACACCCCAGACACAGTCCCTTGGATCCCTGGAGCAAGCACAGCCCTTCCAGCCCCCGCTCCCAGCACCCTCCACAGCTCCGTCCGTCTGTCTGTCCCGTGCTGAGACCCTCCCGCTCCGTGCATCCAGGAGCGGGAGCTGCAGCCAGGCAACAGCGGAGCCAGTGCCTCTGCGCAGCCCTGAACGTGCCCTGCCTGCCCTGCCTGCCCTGCCTGCCTGCGATTATAACCAGGCTGGGATCAATTTCCCTTTTCTATTGCCTGACAAAATACTGTTACGCAGGGAAGAGCTCGGCTTTACCGTATGCTTGGAGGTACAGAGATCTCGCTGTGCCTGTGGGCAGAGGGTTTGCAGCGCTTCATCCTCCCTCATCTCTCCGTTTGATGTTTATACAGCCCCCGGTCCTGTTGTGTTTAGCATCCATCTCCCCCGCTGCCTGCCAGGCAGGGCAGTGCCGCTGGCCCAGCCCTTGGGTGGGGGATTGGAGACCCAGAGATGGGCCTTCACCTGCCCGAGGTGACCCAGGGATTTGGAGCTGCTGTAAGGAGTGGGCTCAAAGGCTGTGCCCCGGCAGACCCAGATCCCCTTCTTCATAGCCACGCAGCTGAGCAGAGGGAGGTGACGAGAACCTGCACGTACTGTGGGGTGGCACGCAGTGTAGTGTGAAAATGGTGCTTGGTTTTGGGGACCTTGTCCGGCTGCTTTAGCTGTTCAGGAGTCGGAAAGCACATGGCTGTGCCTGGGATGGGGAGGGTGACTTCTGCTGCTTGCCACCATGTGGGAGCAGGATGGAGAATTGCAGAAGTGTTGATGGAGAGAGGCCTCTGGAGACCTCCCAAGCTGCAGCTTGTGCCCGTTGACCTTTCTTATATCATTGGGTGACACCAAAAAGCCATTTTGTTTTGTTGTCTTTGTAGCAACCCTAGGTTGCTGTCAGAGCCTCCTTAGCTTCCTCTTGACACATTCAACCAGCCTGCCTCCCTCAGAATCTTCTTGTAGGACTTTGTTGCTTGGATGTCTTGAAGGTTTATGTTGGCCTGGTCTTCAAAGGTATTAAGGCCCCTCTGGGTTGGGGCTCTGCTACTTGTGTTACCTGTTCACAGTATTTTGGGGTTGTCTGCAGATTTGCAGATGAAGGGGCCTCTTGGTCATGTCTCATCAGATACATTTCAGGGAAGAGGAGAGAGAAATAGAAGCATTTATATCCTGTCAATGAGCTGCATGGTAGCTGAGGTTGGTGCTCAGGTGTTTGCCCTGTACATGAGCCTGTGTCCCTGTGGCTGCTGATTTCCTGGCCTCCGTGGCTCTACTTGTGGTGCTGGAGGAGACTAAGATGCCTGAGTACAGGGGAACCTGTAAGCGGTTGGTCAGGCAAGGCATAACCTAATGACGCTCTGGGGGACACGGTGCCAGAGCCCACTGTTTGGTGGTCAGGGATCAGCTCCTGCCCTTTGGGCAACCCTGACTATACTCCTGCCCTGTGGTGGCACAAATGGAAGAGATGTTCGGGGAGGAGAAGCTGAAAGTGTTTCCAGCCGGGGTGACAACCTGTACACTCTCCAGACCAAGGGTCAGTCCCCTGGCCGTTGCCACATTGCCCTGTTGAGGGGTTGTAATAGCAGGGCTGTGATCTAACGTGGTGCCGGGGCCGTGGGTACCTCTTTAAGCACCGTCTCACATTATTGTCCCACTTCCTCCCTCTTACTGGCACAGAAAGGAGCTGTGAGGTCCCGTGGCTTGCACGACAGGGAGATTTCTGCTGCTCCTGGCTGGCAGGACCAGTGGTCCCTAGGAGGCAGCTGGTACTGCTGGGTGCTGTAATGATGGGTCCCCTGGGCAGCCTGAGTTCTGCTAATTATTCTGCTAATTACCAGACCTGCGAATCTGTTCAAACAGCAAACATCTGTGGGTGGTCTCCACATGTGCAGATGTGGAACGGCTGCTGGGGCACTGCGGGTGGGTGCCCGCTCTGGCTGCCTCCCTCTGCCCCCACGCCTGCCTCCTGCCTGCTCAGTGCCCTGCCTGACCTCCTGCCCTGACGCTGCTCCTGCCTGTGTTTTTTCTGCAGGATGCCAAACTGGGGAGGAGGAAAGAAGTGTGGCGTCTGCCAGAAGGCAGTGTACTTTGCTGAGGAGGTGCAATGTGAAGGCAGCAGCTTCCACAAGTCCTGCTTCTTGTGCAGTGAGTACCAGCCCTTCCCTCACCCCTCCCGCCCCGCTTCCTGGCTCTCTGCCGGCTGGGCGCCCCGTCACGTCCTGTTTATGGGTCATGTAAAAATGCTCGTTAGGATTCCTCTACAAGCAGCCCAGCTGTGGGAGCCATGTGGCAGGCTCTCTGCTTTTCTCCAGACTTGGAAATTTGTTCTGCTGAAGGAACACAGATCATCCCAGGACACCAGGGGCTGTCCAAGCTGTCAGGGCTGACCTCAGCCAGCACCCATGCAAAGACTTAGTCTGTCCCTACACCAGGGAAAGGCTAGGCTGAGTCTTCTAGACTATCTCCAAATGTTCAAGACTGGACCATGAGACAGGGACACTCCAAACAGTGGTGGCAGGAGGTGGCACATCCCATGCAGTGGTTTGAGGTGATGCTAGCTTTAGCCTTCTAAGTGGCTTTGCCACACTAAAAAGGTGGTTGGGCCTTGGGAACTGGCATGGCATCTACCCTTGCATCCCAGGAGATGATGGGAAAAAGATGTGGTCCTGTCCTGGCCCTTCTGCTGATGGAAGGTCTAGTGTGAAGTGCTAAAGCATCAACTCCTGTCTGCCTGCAGATCTGCTCTTGCAGAGTGTGTCTCTGTTGTATGTTTGGACCCAAGTGTCACCTCCAGGAAAGGCAGCAGAACAGGATCTGGCTGTGGGTTCACTCTGCAGGATCCTACAACTACTCTTGGGTTCATGCTGCAGGTCCCCAGACACCCTTCTCCTCCCTTTGGGGATACCAGGGCAGCAGTGCAGGGACAGGCAAGTAGTGTTGCGGTGCTGAGAGCAGCTCCTTAAACCTGGGGCATCCACATCCAGGGGGGCTGCAGGACCCTTGAATGAAAAACAACCACTGTCTTCAGCCCATGTTTTACCAGATTTCTGTCCCCTGCCCTTGAAGACTATCGCATAACAGAGCTAGTGATTCTCATGTGCTAACAGGACCACGCACGTTGCCTGTGTCCGCTGATGGCTCATCAACATGTTGCATCTGACACAGCAGCAGGAGTAGAAGTGCATCTTCAGAGCTGCCCTTGTAGCAGGGTCCCACTGAGGTTTAATGTTTTCTCAGCTGGTCCCTGTACCCTGTTCCCAGTCTCCCCATCCCATTGCAGCAGGGAGCACAGACATGATCTTTTCCATATGGGTGCCAAGCAGAGCTAGGGTCTGTAAACAGGCACACAGCTAGAACTAATATCTGCAGACCTATTCCAGCAGGGGAATACCAGCGTCCTGGGGCCGATCCCCACTCCTGTGTCCACCTGGCACGGATGCTGGATACTCCTTGGCCAGCCCGCCCGGGATGTGGCATGCACAGATGGATGAAGATGTGAGAGAGAGAGGCTGTTGCCACATCTCGGCTCCCTGTGCAGCGTGAAGAGTGGCCAGCATGGCTGGTAGCTCTTGTATGTGGGAGTTTCCGGGCTGGAAACCTTGCTTTGGCTCAAGGGGACTAAGAAAGCGAGTTGCGGAGAGGCTTTCCCCGGGCGGGCAGGGGTTGGCAGGCTGTGCCCTTATTGTGGCCGCTTTCTGCAGCAGGAAGTCGTGTTTCTTCTGTAGCCTCAGATAAGGAGGGTGGGGAATGTTACCCTCATCTCCCCCCCTCCACGGGCTATTACCAACTGAGTCCGTATCAATGGAGGACCTCAGTATGGGGACTAAGATCCCCTTGCACTGCATCTGCCTCTCCCTGCAACCCCTGTGCACACAGCTGGATTGCCAGGGAAAGCTTCTGCTGTGCGATGCTGGTACCCAGAGTGTACAGCAGGCCTCCAGCAGCCACAAAATCAAGCAAAAGGCATTGCTTCCACAAGGGAATACATGGCCAAAGTGGGGAAGAAGGTCATCCCATGTCTGCTCACGGAATCGAATCACTAGGGAGTGGTCCAGAGCCAACTACAGCCAGGGTTCCCATGCTTTGCAGACGTACATAATCACACTCCACACGTACCCCAGCAGTTCTGCCCATCCTGGCTGTGGGCTTCCCAGTTCAACCCGTGGTTTGCATGCCAGCCCATAGTGCTGCCTGCTGTTCCCAGTCCTGTGCCACAGGCTGCAGGTGATGCTGAGCGTTCCCAGCCTGTTCCCCAGTGTGCATTTGGGCCTCATCAGAGAACTTAAAGCCATTATCTTTAGGGAGAAAAACAAATAGTTTGACCTGATCTGCCAACCAAATAATCATAAAGGAGCCAAACCTACCACAGTGCATTTGAACTGGAGATTGGCTCAGGGAGTGACTTGGTGATTGACTCAGTGGCATTGATCCAACTGACTTAACCGTACACAGCACAAATGTACTGTAATGAGACTGTTTGGCCTCTGAAAGTAGCAGCAGCTCTTGTCTAATTGTTTTGTGGAGCAACTCTGCTGCTCTTAGAAAAACAAAGGGTCCTTAACTCAATGAGTGCAGTGCGCTGGAATTTCTGCAATGCAGAAACTCGGGAGCTGGGGGCTGATTTCTAGGAAGTAGACAGGGAAAGAATTTTTCTGCTGCCTCTCAATGCATCTGTGGCTAGTACAGATGAGGGACTGTGAAAGCTTAGGTTAGAGGTCTAAATCCACCCAGCACGATGGGAGAGAAAGACAGATGCCATTGAGATCATTCACTTCCACCCCTAGGATAAAGCCTTCTAAACGTGCCAGTAAAAGTGCCCAGGTACCCCTCCTGGAGGGTCTGTCTGAATGCAGTGTTGTTCCTGATGAGCTCCAGGGTAATGCAGAGACAACCCCAACACCAGCACATTAGCTTGGCAGCTATGGGACCAGTTAACCAGAGCTGGTCTTTCTCAACAGGGATGTGTGCTCCATCCCCAGCTCCTGCTGTGGTGGGATGGGGAGCCCGTAGCCAGGAGAGGACCCTGCCAGATCCTCCTTAGATGGCAGGAGATGTTTCTCTTTCCACCTCCTCCTCCCAGCAGCAGCACACAGGGATCTCGGCCCTGGAGGAGAAGCACCATATTTAGTAATTGGGCTGAGGAAGGCTGCCTCTTGCCCCAGCATTTTGTGCCGCGGTTTGCGCTGCTCCAAGGGGAGAGCTCCGCTGTGTTTGCATTCCTGCGATATTGGTACAGGCCAAGAAACTTTTCTGCTGGCGAAGAGGCCAACGGGCTGCTGGGAGCCTCGACATTTAAGGCATGTAAGCAGGATGGGGGAAGGCTGTGTCGCAGCCGTAGCAGGATCTGTTTCGGGCTGGCTGCCAGTGCTGTGGACTCTGCCCCAGGCATCTGGATCCTACACTGGGGCAGGTAGACGCTGGAGATGACTGCAAGCCCGTTTGGGTGCTGCTCGCCTGCTGTTCCGGCTTGCTGGGTGGTGCGTTCCAGGAAAGGTTTGGAAGCCAATGTGGAGGCTGAGATCAGAGCTGGGACAGGAGTCAGGAAAACCTAAAAATTGGGAAAAGAGTCTGTGTGGTCTGAGCCCAGCACCAAGCTCAAGCTCTGGATGGGACCCCGAGCCTGGCTGCTGTCTCCTTCTGTCCCATCTTATGTCCCGTATTAATCCCCAAGGCTTGAACACCCAGCTGAGTTAGTGTCCTCACCTGAGACTGCCCTATGCCCACGCCCTAATCATGGCATGGACCCGGGGTGACACGTTAGCATGAACTCTTCCATCGTGGTCTTGGAGTCTGGAGAGGCAACTGTGCACAATATCGTATAATGTGCCAAAAAACTTACAGTGCATCAGCTGTGGTAATGGCTGCAAGTCTGCTTTCAGTCTGTCTAAACACTAGGTAAAATATATTTACTTACATTACTTTCCCCCAAGTGCATATTTGGAGAAGACTAGGAGTGTGGCAGAGTTGCAGCTGCAGTGGGGCAGGGATGTCCACCCCTGTGCTTGTGATCTGTAGAGAAATTTCATCCCCCCCCTATTTTAAGTGCATCTGCAGGATACCAGCATCAAGAGAGTTAACAGAGCTTTTTCTTAATATCAACCTTGTAGCTTTGTTGGTTGCTTCCTTTTAAAGCCAGACAATGTTCTTGTTGTGATCCTTATCTCTGGCTGTTTTGCATGCACGCCGGTTTACTAGGATCTTGTCTAGGTTTCCTTACTCCTTGAAAGCTGAGCTGTACTATCCCTTGTGAAGACTTGTTTTCTCCAGCTAATTAGTGAGCTCTGAATGAGCAGGCTAATGGCACGGCCCTCCCCTCTTTTCTAGTGGTCTGTAAGAAGAACCTGGACAGCACCACTGTTGCTGTGCACGGAGAGGAGATCTACTGCAAGTCCTGCTATGGCAAGAAGTATGGCCCCAAGGGCTATGGATACGGGCAGGGAGCAGGGACCCTCAGCACTGACAAGGGCGAGTCTCTGGGAATCAAATACGAAGAGTGAGTTTAAAGTCTTGTTTTCAAAACTGGGGCTCTTGTGGGCACCTTCTCCCCCACGTCTGTCCACTTGTGATGCTTGGCTGTGTAGCCCATGCTGAACTTCCATCACTATCTAATCTGGAGAGTGCCGTGGGCTGCCCTGCCTTTCTGCTCCTTGAG